GATTAGGACTAGATATAATTTGGTGCCTATATAAAGGACCAACCCCCCATGTTATTTGGCATCATCCAAGAAATCAATAGAAGTCTAGAACTTTGTTCTTCCAACTTTGCTTTAGTCTTTTCACCAGAATACTATAGCAATTTTATCGTTTCAATAGGCGCGATTGTGGCTTGAGAAACACTATCGGCGATTCAAGGCGCGGGTTCGCGGCTTATCGGCAGTCGAAACACACGATGTTCATCACGCTGCGCGGACGCTGGCGTGCGCCGTCGGGTGCTGGCGTGCGCTGGCAGCATTGCACAGGGCCCGGCAGACAAGCAAGGTTTCAAATAGGACCGACCGATTTCAAATTTACTCGACCGATTTACTTGAAAATTTAACACATTAAAATAGACCCAGAAAGGCACGTTTTTACAAGGTTTCAGACTCAACTCATCAGTTTAACATAAACAACCAATTTTTACGAAAAGGCGATGAAAATCTGAACTTTCTAGTTCACCGAGCAATCCTTCGAACTTTTCAACGAAATTTGGACACAACACACATATCATCAAATTATTAACACTCACCAAAAATCACAGCAAAATTCTAAGAATATGATTTTTAATGATTTCTTAAAGTTTCTGCCCAGAATTTCAAATTCACGTTTGACATAGCTACCGATCTCATTTCGGCATGAAATCTTTACAGCACATAATATACCAATAGAGGACTCTACAGTTCAAATTTCAGAGCAATCGGACGAGCACATAATTTAATATAATTTTTATAAGAATCAGCAGCAATACCCGATTCAACAACACATCAATGATCACATATTCATCTAAAACGTCCAAGGCCTGAACCATGAGGCCAAGGACTTCAAATGTTCCAATAATCCACAGCCCTAATCACGATTTAAGCGAAATTCACATTCGAATACAATTAACGAATAAATCACGAGATTAAATAGCCACTTATCAAACCCTAACATGAAATTTCCAACAAGGCTCATCACACAACACATATATATACTGAAAATAATAAAGGATTATCAGCCTTGTACCATTCTCGGAGAAATTGCACGGAAGGAGGTTCGAACGGGGCTGAGGATGGTCGCGGGCACGCGGAGGAAGGCCTGCGGACGTCTACTGGGCGCTGGCGGCTCCGCGGGGACGCTGGGCGTGCTTGCTAGCCTCGCGAGGGACGCTGGACGCCAAGGGGTGCACGATCTGCGACTCACGAACGGGTGATGGCGATGGTGCTGGCCCGGGACGGCGATGGCGCACGCGGTGATGACGAGCGACGGGTGATGGTGCACCACGGCGGAGGATG